ATTGGAATGCATTAAAACCCATTTAATGTGTTCCAAAGGGAAAATACCTCGTCGTCCAGCGAAAATCACCCGTAGGGAAGCCATTTTGCAAGCCCCAATCAGCTGTAAAAATTGCTGTCCTGTTCCCCCTCCGTGCGTCCGACCGCCTGCTGGCAAAAGTCACAGGAGAAACGGTCCTTCCCCTTCGCCTTTCCAATGACTCCTGCGGCGTTTCGACGCCGGATTGGGAGTCTTGTTCTGGCTGTTTGTTTCCCCCCCCCCTCGGTTGCATGCCAGTTCTTGTCTGGAAGCATCAGCTTGCAAGCATCCTGACGGAGGGCCGGGCAGGAAAGCTGGGGCGTCTTGGTGTTGATGCCATCGAGGTTGGCGACGGTGGGGCCAAATCCGCGCTAGAGTCTGGGTGATGACGAGAGAGTCGCCGGCCGAAGATCCAAACTTGAAAAATCAACTCATCTTAACTGCTTCAGATCTTTTCCCCGAAACGCAGAGTCGTCGCTGCCGGATCCGAGCTCACCAAGAAGAATGGGCCAGCTCCCACAGGAATCGCCTCCAGGCCCTGTCAGCTCGCCCACGGCGCTCCGAAATAATATTCCCCCTGAGCCGCATTTTGTCACCAAGACCGACGGTCTTCATTTCTCCTCGCTGCCGGCCCTCGTCTCGAAAGGTGGGGACAACTTCTTGTTCCTCCTGGAGCTTAGATTACATTATTCTCAGATCCCCCCAAAAGGGCCTGCGCTACAGATATGTATCTGGTTTTAATCAGGTTTTATCCATCTTAATTTAGGGCTTCCCCCACCTGCTCAAAAGCATCCTCAGAATCGGAGATACAGACACGGTTGTTCCTGGAAATCTGAGCCTCTTCGTCCGGATGTTCCTCAGGCTTCTTAGTTGACAGTCTTGGCAACTGGATAAATCTGAGATGGGTTGATATTTACCTTTTAGGGTTCAACGCGGGGGTTCGGTTAGCGCACAACCCAGGGAGACTGAGTACAAAAACTAGCCAGTTTTGAAAAATCATGCCATGGACAGCGATTTATTAGAGAAGAACTGCCTTTCCTACTCCTTGAGGCCTAATCCTGCTAGTAAACCCTACTGGAGTTAGACCTGCTGAAACAACAAGATTTACATAGGTTTGGTTTACAATTCGGCAGGTCTAGCCTGGTTAGAGTCCTGGTGTCTTTTGAACTCGGCTCCTGCCCCCCCCAAGATCTCTCTCCCTTTTATAGAATTATCAGCTTCTTGCAGGAGAGGAGAGAAGTGTGTGTTTTTTAAAATTAGATTTCATCATCCAGTTTCCTCCTCATACCAGCTTTCTGATCGATCCTTTTTAAAGCATAGGGACTAGAAGCATTCTTGATTTTAAAAAAAATTACTTTAATGTAAGATGTGGTTCTCAGGGGGCTTGGAGTGTGCCCTGTCACAGTTTCTCCCCTCGGTGTGGGATTGTTGCAGTCATGGACAGACAGAACCCTTAAGCACAAGGAAATTTGGCTACTGCTTTTATTTCCAACACCGATTTCCCCAGATACATAATTATGTGCTGTCAAGTCCATTCCGAGTGATGGCATTCTTCCCAAGGTTTTTGAGGTCCAAAGTCCTTGGAAATGTTTGAGCAGTCCTGAATTTTGGGGCCACTCTGGGTCATTTGTCCAACCACGTAATCCCATCGGCCCCTCAACCTTGGGTTGATTTAGGCTGGCCCTCTCTCCTAAGAGGCATTGAGAGGATTTGAAATAGAGGAAGGACTATAATTGAGCAATGAAGCACATATTTTGGAAACCAAGGGTCAGTTTAACCTGAAAAGCTCCTGCTGTTAGGGATTGTTGGATTACTTGGACTACAAATCCCATAACTCTCCATTCCGGACAATCTCCCTGACAGAAAGACGTCTCCCCAGATGCCACAGTGTGGCTCACCTGGAAGGGGAAAAAAAACCCAACTGGAAAGCTTTGAGGCTGAACTAGGCCTCGCTCGGCCTACGCTTCCCGTTCAGAAAGAAAGCTCCCAGCTCGCACTGGGGCAGGAACAGGAAGTTAAGGGGGAGCTAGGCCTAGCTCAGTCTTGAAACCTCCCCGCTGAGGCCTTTTCTCCCAGTTGAGCCACATTTTGCTGTCTGTAAGGTGCCCCTCTTGTCGGGGAAAATTCGCAGAATGGAGAACAACGGAGGCTTGTGGTCCATGAAACCGAAAACTCCCATCTTTCGCTGCAATGATAAAGTGGGATCAGGCGTTAAGGAATTCTCTCCTCTAACAATGAGTCATCTGTAATGTGTCTTTTAAGTCGAGCCTGCTTTCCTTTTTGCCAGCATTCCTTTCCGACTTTTAAATGTTCTTCCTTGGGTAGCTTTTGGGAATGTTCGGAAGAGTTGCCCGAGACTCTGCTGCAGAACACATGGCATTTTAAGGTTGAATCCAGACTTTTTAAGAGTTTTCTTGTTAACACCATAGCAGGGTTTTTTCCCCCTTGTGCAAAGACTCACACATGTGCCATATGGCAAGCAACTAAAATTTATTCTCTCTTTCTAGCTAGAAGGGATCCTATAGATCACCAAGTCCAAATTTTGTATCATTCCCTTTTTAAAACCACGGTTCTTTTGCACCTCCAAACTCTCTGCTCTTCTCTCCCCACCACCTCCTGTTTTGATCAGCCCCAAGGGACTCATCCTGTACTGGCAGGCTTGGCCCAGCCCTGGCACACGCACCCTGCCCCATCTGGATGAGATTTGCGGCTTCTCTCTCTCAGCACAAGCTGAACAGGTGACATTTTGTGCCTTTCCAAGCGAGAGAAAGGGAGCGGGTAATCGCTGCGCAGTATTAATGACACGCCACCCTGCCGCGCCGGTTAATTGCGAGCAGAAAGCTAACCAGCCGCCCCAGGTAGAGATAACCCACTGCCTGCATTGTGGGGGGGAAGGTTTGCGTGCGTATGTTGCTTTTTCCAATTTTACTCCCCCTTTTTTTATCCACAGCTGGGCACCTTTTTGAAATCTGGCGAAAGCCAGCATGCATTAAACCCGAGCCGAGTGGAGGGAAAGCAAGAAAGGGAGGGGGACGAACCTGCCACTTTATGAAGAGGGGGTAGGTGGTAGCCTGCCTGTAATGGCCGTTGCTTAGGAGACTGACGGTGCTTTTGGGAAAAATCCTCTCTCAACGCCCACCGGTTTCTTTCTTCTGTGCACAAACCCGCCGCACGATTTTCCCTCCACTCTCCGAAAGGCCCTGTTCGGTACCCAAAGGTGCAGCGAGGCACAGCTAGGAATCTAGCACGATTCAAGATGAAAATAAGGGTCTTTTTTGGGGGGGGGATGCATCGTTGGGAGGGAAAATTGCAAATAAATAGGTTTTAGCCTATGGTGGTGGTGGGGAGCAGGTTGGAGAGAATGGGCGAGTCAGTCCAGGCATCGGCCTCAGCTGCGTTAGGAGTTTTGGATGTGGATGGACTACTGGACCCATGATCCCCTACCAGCAGCACAGCTCGGTGGATGCTCATGAATCCCGGACTCCATCCACATCTAGAGTCTTTTCTGCCCTCTAGATTTGGTCTGCTTCTTTTCTTAAAAGTCCAGGTGGGCACAACGCAAGGTGACTGAAAGGAGGATATTACAGGTATTGGGGTCAGAATGATAAAGGGTCTTCTCTGGGTTAAGGTCATGCCCGTTTGCAGGAGTGAAAGGGCAGCCGTGTAGAGATTGTAGTGAGAGGTGAATTTGAACCCATTACTCCCCCCCCCCTCATTTCATGGCCTCAGCCTTCCACTTGCTCATTTAAAAACAAAATGCAAAATTTGCAGCCCAAAGATCGCTGGAGTTTGGTGCCTTCCATTTCAGCACCCGGGACAGTGGCGTGGCCGCCCTCTCTCCCAACTTTGGACCAGTCTTGAGTGGCAGGGCCCACTATCCCCAGTTAGCAGAGTTGCTAGGCACGATGGGGCTCGTAGTCCCCTCAGCCCTGCAGCCGATATCTGGTTCAAACAGGCCTCTCTACCTCGGGCGGCAAGAGGGCGGCCTAGCTAACGTGGCCACTGGGGAAGGACAATGGGCATTATAGTCCAAAAGGGCCAGGGTTCCCCCAACAGAAGCCTTACACATCAATAGCATGAAACCTGTGGTCTGATACGCAAGAGCAGGGCCAGCCATGTGTTGCAGGATGCTGGATTTGTAGTCCAACAAGTAGCTTTCCCCCCCTTCACCCATAGGCCTGTTATTATTATTTTTTTCTGGCATCATGCAGTTGGCTGGAGAAGCCGAGGGGAGAGGGAGAAGAGCCCGAAGCAGGGTGCAGTAATGATTTTGATGAATTGAATGAGGCAGCTGAACCAAGGCCGATGTTAGGCAGTTAACCGCAGGCAGAGGTGTTGAGGGGTGTGTGCGCAGAATTTGATAAAGGCTGCCACTGTTGTTGCTCCTCGGATCCCCCAAGAACCCTCTCCGGATGTTTGCGCCGCATCAGGAGCGCCTCGCCGCTGTGCCCGTGGATCTGCGATGCCTTACCAACTTCCGCACGGGTGTACCCCCTTAAAGAAGAGGGGGATGAAGCAGGCAGCCTGGTGCTCGGCACCCTTTTTGAAGTGCGGGGAGGTAGCAGAAGGGAGTGACCCACCCCACCCTCTTTGTCTCCGGCATTTCCCACCTCGCCGAAAAACTGGCGCCAGCGGCAGGAAAACCCTGCGCATAACCTTCTAGCGCGGGCCGCTCATGGTCTGTTGTTCAGGCAAGACCTCAAATTAGTCAAGGATGCGCTTTGCCATTTGGACAGACGGCACGGTCTCTGTAGAGCATATATCAGGTGCTTCCTTCCCCCCTCCCAACATGGATCCACCTCCTCCGAAGATGAATTTCTATGACGGGGCAGATGTTTGGCAGACGGCAGTGATGCGGAGACCCCCCGAACATCTGGCAGAGGGAAAAGCACAAGATGCTGAGGAAACCCCGTTGACACAGCACAGTGACAGCCGTTTGAGGGCATTC